CCCAGAGAGGAAGGGTAAAATGCAAAAAAAAAACAAAAAAAAAAAAACAAAAAAACAAAAAAAACCACACATACACAAAAGATTTTGTTTTAATCTGATACTCTACAAAGTTTATTTAGAGAAAGGGTTGGATTGTGCTTTTTGTTTGTTTTGTTTTAAAACTGCCTGTTCCCAAGTGGATGTTGAGCACTGAGTTGAGGTGAGGACAAGTTGGCTTTCAGCCTACAGGCTCTTCCTTGTTACATTCAAAGGGGATTTTAGGAGGATTTGGAATTCTTCAGATCTTGAGTTTGGAGATCATGGGTGGAGCCCAGACACAGAGCATTCAGCTGATGGTTGCTAATTAAATGTTTGCCAAGTGACCTCAACTGGCCAGACTGTTTCACAGGGGAGGAAACAACACTCCATGAGATAACTGCAGGGGGGCACCAAGGGAAGGAAATGGGGATGTCTGGAAAAGCTTGCTGGAAACTGGAGATTCTGGTTTAGAGCATATACTGCTCTGATGGAAAGAAGGTTAGCCAACCTGGAAATGTGGGTCAAAGAAAGCATCCTTTAAACTCACCCATAGTAAAGGAGCATAACTGAAAAAAATTCTAAAACAGTTCTACTAAAATAATGAACCACGTTTAAGCAAATAAAGTCATACTATTAAGATTTTTAATAGTGGTTAGCAAGAGTTTCAAACTGGTAAGTTTGATTTCATTCTCCTTTAGATTAAAACATGTGTAAATATTAGTTCTAATTCCCCTACAGATAGGGGAACCATAATCCCAGTTTGGCTGGGTCGATTCCTATTTACACCAGAGTAATTATTAATAATTACTCTTACACACACAAAAGAGCTACAGTTTGGGTGATAAATTATATGGTCACCCTTTTTTGTGACCAATGATTTGTAAAATTTAAGATGGTTTCTAGTAATGTAGAGTGCTATTTAGGGAGTCACTGACAAGCCTACTAAACCTAATTGTATCAAAAACTTCTTAAAGGGACAACCAGAATGAAGGATCCAACAGTGCTTCAGCAATTAGCTTCAGTTAAGTACAAATTCAAAACAAATTAAGTCTGTCACAGAGCTGCCAAAACAAGTTAAGAACTTATCTTAAATTGTATAAATTGAAGTTTGATGTCCAGATCCAGAGAAGATATTGGAATTTCTTTCTATGCTTTAAGATTCCATCTCAAGAGTACTGTTTGTTCTTCTTAAGCATACTTCTTAAGAAGAATTAAAAAATTGAAGCACATTCAGAAAACAGGGACCAGGATGGAAACATTTGGGAAAGCTATGGCATTCATGTCCTGGTTGAAAAGACTAACAAAAAAATACCCCAAAGGAAGAAAGCTGTCAAGCCCTGCTAGAGGTCCTCAAATACTTTAAACACATATCATATGAAAGAGAAAGTTGACTTAGTCTGTAAACCTTTAGGTTAATATAATAGGTTGAAGTTAAGGAGCAATAAAAATCTGTTCACTATGAGGGCAAGCTTTCCAACTAATAAAATCTTCCCAAAATGGAATGAGAGATCTTTGGAGATAATAAATATTGATAGAGGTGTTCAAGCAAAAGCTAAATGATATCTTAATAGGAATATAATGGGGTAAATTAATGTGCCACATAGAAGTTAGGATGAAGAGATTCTAAGCTCATTTAAAACTGTACACTAGCATTCTAATGAAATAGTGGGGAGGTAATTCAGGAAAATCCTCTACCACGGCGTTAATCACCATAATCCTGTCTGTGTTTTAAAGGGTCTTTGAACTGGTCACACTGTCCCTTCTTTATAGTAAATATAATACTATGATACAATTATTCCTTCTCAGTCTATCAATTATCAGTGCCATGTCTAGATCTGGGGAGCTCATTAATAGAGCTGAGCTGGCCCTACTCCACATATACATAACCAAAATCTCTGGGGAGATACATATTCTAGAATGATCTACAATCTGAATCTGTCACCCAACTAACAATAGTCACTGGAAATCTTTGAAATAGTCTGAAGCCTTTTTTTATCCCTTAAAGCCAGAAACAAATAACCCTGTCTCAAACACGTTATTAATGTTCCTTGTTTAAAAGTTGTTTTAGAATCCTTTAGGATGCATATGACAAAAACCTAACTGAAGAAGGATAGTAACTGGCTCAAAAAACTAAAAAGTTGAAAAGATGAGATGGATTCAAACATAATTCTAGAGTTCAGTGTTGTTAGGGTCATGTTTTCTATTCCTTTCCTTTTTTGCTTGCTCCATTCTGCTAGACTCCTTTCCCCAAACGGTTCTCTTTATGTAGCAGCAAGATGTCCACAGCATCCTTACCCCTCAAGCTCACTGAAAAATAGTAAGCATTTCTTACCAAGAGTTCAGAGAAGCTCTAGGAGTATTCTGATTAACCTGACTTGGGTAGTGTGCCCACCCCTGGAGACATGGGGCTGAGGGTGCCAGTCCCATTGTGGCCATATCGACTAGCGGAATTATTATGAAAGGATGACTAGGCAACCAAACGTCTACTATGAAGGGTAATCAACTGAACTGAAGAATAGAAGGAAAGCTTGGTTGTTTTTCATTTTATTCTCCAACAAGATGGCCTTTTCATGATAATAGTTAATAGCAACTGACCCCAGCTATGGTGTCATGCTATAAATTTATATTCTTTCCCAGAAACTATCACAACACATTAGGAGAATCCACACTCTCTGTAGTCCAGTGGGCCTCTGTGGAATTGTATTATAAGAATGGGACTCTACATTATGTATAACTCATCACTGGATCATACTACCTATTACCCTAACTTGTAAAGTTCCTAATAGGAGTGTCTCTTCATCATGCACAATTCTGGGCTCTCCTCCAAGTGGCTCATTAACATGGTTGAGTTGCTGATCTAGATTAAAATGTTCCTTCTATAAAAGACAACAATGGAAGTCTACAGACAGTACAAATATTAATGTATGAATCACACATGATTGAGGTGAAAAGGACTTTTCTAACCCTTAAGGTTTGGGATTTAACTCCCTGGTAGAAAGCCAACAGGAGCTGAGTACATAATTCTTTATTATAAAATCCTCAAAAACTAAGGTCAGATTCCATTCAAATGAAATTATCACTTCTTAGAAGTTCAGTAGATTTGATTTAATTCACTTTTTTGATTTTCAAGTAACTGATTAATTCCCTTTCCAGTTGCTTTTCTGGTTCCCCGTGCTTGCCACCTTTTTATAAATTCCTTTGATTGGTTCATTAAGTTAACAGCTAGTTCTTGCCCTGAACATCAGGCTCTTAGGAGAACCCTGGTTACCTTTTTCCTCAACAACTTAATTGGAGACAAGGGAATTCTGAGCTACTCTCATTTCAGGGACCTTTAAAAACCCCAAAGAAAAGAGATTTTAATGGGCTTAACTACCTGCTATCAAAGAGAAGTTAGATACCTCTGTCCCTCATAAGTATCACAAATGTGTTTAAACTTCCACACATCCACTCCAAAACAGAGTAGTTTGTCATTAACAAACTAGATAGCAAAAAGATATCTTTATTCTGCAGAGAGAGAAAGAAATGGAGGGGAAAAAAGATGGAAGGAAGAAAATTTTCAAAGTGAAGTAATGAATATTTTGAAGATAAAGAGTTAGAAATGGAATATTTGGCAATATGATTATCTTCAGCAGAAATAATTAGTTGGAAAATCATACTGTTATATACTGTGCAATTAGAAAGCCTTCCATTAGATTTTCATGGAATAACTTACCATAATCACCTAAATAGAAAGTAATAACTTATCTCACCATACAACTTAATAAATGCTATGCAACCCTTTGATATCACTTAATGGGTTTGCCAAATAATTACTCTTCCTAGATAATTGATCTTGTTGCAGAATCTTGGAGCTGCCAGAGGAAATGGTTTCCTGTGTATGTGGAATGTAATACTAATTAATAGCTTTTTCCTGTTGCCACCTACAGTTCCCAAGGGATCAGCCTTCCAAAGAGAATTCTTTTATATAGATTGTGAATATTTTTTTCTTTAATTTGTTTGGAAAGGGTCGAAGTCAAGGAGGGGTATTTTTTTTCATTGATCCATTTCCTGTACTTAATTATTTGACACAGTTGACTCATGATTGTGTAATTATCTCTTGGAGTGTTTACCATTAATGTAAAATTGTACTGTATTTCCAAGCCAAATGGAATTTTTATGAGGCCATACAACCCTTCTTGGCTTTACTTTTTGTTTAATGGTCATGCTGTAGCAAATAGCAATGTGCAATATGAACAGTTAAACTATTCTCTTAATTATTGCATCTGGTTTACCATATCCTGCCCATCTAATGTGTTTTAATTGAAGGGCAGAAAAGATCTCTGGTTGATCATTGATGGTTTTAAATTGGCACATAATGATAATACTGAGTTCTGGAGGGAGTTCTTCCTAAATCTCAGCATATGTCTTTATGTTAAACAATTAAACCACATCTGGAAAGAGAAAGCAGATCAGTACATTCCTCAGTGGACTCTGAGAAAACTGATTCAGTGGGCTGAATACTTGTTACCAAAAAAGAGGGGGAGGGTGGATAACCTTGAACTAAAGAGAATTTGCAGATTAAAAAAAAAAAAAAAAGAACAGGTGTTTGAAGGAAAAATTCCCACAATGAAATAAATAGTTTTATATCGGCAAGGGCATTTAAGCAATAATGAGGAGATTTCATGCATTTTATGCAAGGGCACCAGGGGGAATTAGTAACAGAAGAATATAAAGATCTTATTTCAAGAAAGTATATTATTATTAGGATTTTCCAAGTCTCATGTACAAGTTAGCTGAACAAGGACTTACTTAGCATTTAAAAGAGAATCTAGAGTATGTTTAGAAAGGGTTAATATGCTGTTCACATTGCCTGAGGCAAATCGAACTAAAAGTTACACTTGGGCACATATTTCTAGGTGAGAGTTAAGAGGAACTTTCATCGACCCCAATCTCCTAGGTAGACCACAGCCAACACTGCCTATCCCCTGCCCCCAATCTCTCACCTTGAATTCCTTCTAACACCTTCCTTTGGGATGCCAAGAGAAGTCTTCAATAAACAGATCTTTTATCAGCACTTTCTTGCTGAAAAACCATCAATGTCTTCCCATTTTTTGCCTTTAAGAAAAAAATCCAAATTAAAGTATCTGACAAACTCTGTATATTCTGCCTCTGCACTCTTTTCCTAGGCTTACTTTTTCCTGCTACTTTCTCTAGAAACCCTCTATTCTACCCTTACTGGTTTGTTCCTACTCCACAAACAAACAGCTTTTGTACTTTCTTATTTTATTGAAAATTTTCCTTGCCCAGAATCTCTTCTTTTTGCTCTTAACTAAAACCTTTCTGATTCAGACTCAAATGGCACCTCTCTAACAAAAATTTTCCAGCCTTTCCAGTTCAAAGATATCCTCCCCCACCTTTCCTGAACATCCCTAGAATACCTGTGTTTATATTATTCATTTACCATTGCTTGATTTATGCCTATTTTTGGGTGTTTTTCATGTGCAAATGGCTTACATACCCAAATGACTGTAAACGTTATACATTCCAGAATTTTGTCTTATAATTGAGAATGTTCACTCTACTACATTACTCCACATTCTTTCACATAATTGGTGTACCTTTTTATGTAATCGGCAAACCCCACCAAAAAAGTGCATTTACTCTTGAATTTAAATTCTACTTCTGAAGGGAACAAGAAACAGGAGATGCATTTTGTATTTGTTTGCTAGGGCTGCCATAACAAAATACCACAGACTGGCTGCTTAAACAATGCCATGAAGTCTAGGAGTACAAGATCACGATGCCAGCAGTCTTCAACATAGGAATTTGGGAGGACACAATTCAGCCCATAATAGATACTATGCAACACTCTTTGTTGTTCATCCTCTTGTGTCTTCTGTATTTCCAAAAAGTTGCAGTTATCAGAAGGTAGGAGTAGGGATTAAATCTAATTGGTCCCAGCACAAAATCAAAAGCCTTAGGCTTTAAGCTTTAAATCTGAACCTCAGGACTTTCCATTTTCTCCCTTTTTCTTGTCTCTGGATTTGTATCCATGTATACTCATACATCCATTACTCTCTTACTTTTTCTTTCAATTCTCTAGTATCAGATCTAAATTTTTAAAAAAATGAAAATTAGAATGTGAATAATCAACGTGCCAATTAAGAGTTCTTCAACTGCAATAAACGGTAACCTAAACTAAATCTTCTTAAACATAAGTGGTATATTTTGATTCCTGTATTTAAGGGAGAAAAAAGGTACTGGAACATTAGGTTTGGATCAATCCAGGAGCTCAAATAATGGCACCAAGACCTGGTTTCTCTCTTTTCTTACCGCTTTGCTTCCTCTGGGTTGGCTTCATTATCTGATATCATTCATCTTGTACTGTGGGGGAGGGGGGGGGAATTGGCTCTAGTACCTTAGCATATGTATTTTCAAGTTCAATGTTATTTTCTGGTAGCTGTTCCCCAAGACTCAAGACTTGACTTTTTCTCACCAGAATAGCTCATTACTAAACTATCTCTATGACAAACACAAGAAATGTTAAATGACCAGAGTTCAGTCCCATGTACCACCTCTGGAGGTGAGTGTGGACTAGCGCCCCTGCACAGTACTGTAAAAGGAGTAATTCTCCAAAAGGAAATTTGAGTTTTGTTAATAAAAAGGGAAGATACTGGGGTATCTTTGTGGCTTAGTCAGTTAAGCATCAGACTTTGGCTTAGGTGATGATCTCGCTGCTTGTGCTGACAGCTCAGAGCCTGGAGCTTGCTTCAGATTCTGTGTCTCCCTATCTTTCTGTCCCTCCCCCCACTCAGTGCTATCTCTCTCTGTCTCTCAACAAATAAATAAACATTTAAAAATTTAAAAATCAAAGGAGAAGATAGGAACATGGCAGGCAAAGTTTAGCAAAAAACCTACAGCAACATATAAGCTTTAATCCACCACCCTTTGATATTCGGGGGTGTGGGGAAAGAGAGTAGCAGAGCAGCAAGAACTGATTAAGCCATCAAGGCAAAGAAAAATGTTTTCAAGGCAGAGAACATTTTTGAACAAAGCTCCTCCCTTGTACCCCTGAAATTGTATCACAGAGGAGTCAAGTCAGCCCTGTTTGATTGCACCTTATCTGACCCACTTATAAGAACAAATTTACTCTACTTGCTGGTGCCCCAGTTTTCTCAATGTCTAAAAGCCAGAGTCAGGATTAGGGCTGGAATTCAAGTTATTGAGGATTGCCTAATAAAAGGACAAAGCAATTTGAACATGGAAATCCACGTCCAAACTCTTATTAATAATTGTGTCTCTGCTGAGCACATGTAGGGACAGATAATTAGATTCACATCAAGAGTGGTCTCTAATTGGATCCAGATGCAAAGAAGTCGACAGACATTCACTAAAGGGAAACTGTACAAAATAACCAAGAAACAAATGGAATTGCAACGTGCAAGTTTATGAAGAATGATGGGTTGAATGACTACAAAGCCTTTCAGGCAGCTTTTAGTCACACACTTAAAGAAATTTATTGTTGTACTGCACATTATTACAGAGCAGCATTGTCAAAAACCAATGATGTTCCCTGCAGAAAAAATACAACATGGCACACAGAGTCCTTGGGAAGAACGTCTTAAAGATTTTAAGTATTCTAGAGATGTCACCCTTTTTTTCATCAGCTTTGGTTAATATTAATTCAGTGGGATGAAAAACTAAACTCCATCATTTTGGAATCTCCAGTTTATGTCTGTACTAAGTGAAGAGACTCTCAACACTGCTAAAAACCTAACTTGCCTCCACTTACTAGAGTAGAGCTAACCAGATGTTTGTCCCACATGGATCGAAATGGGTATATTCAGTCCACATATAACCAAAGGTTAGAAGGAGACAACAGTCACCATCAAAACTATTCACATATGGCATACCAATCGATAAATGCAAATATATACAGTCATACTATTTGAGGTTAAGATGAGTTATATAGGTCTTGTGGAGCATTTTAAATTTGAAATCTATCTTCTCCATGGCCCACTAAATAGCCATTTCAGAGCAGGAGAGAGAATAATCCAAATTGAGAACGTGGCATATGCAAAAGTCCCTCAGTTAGAATGAATTTGTGAGCTTGGGGAAGTGGGGAAAATGCAAGATGGTTGGCTTTTAAAGAGAAAGGCGAAAGGGATAGGCTGGGGACAGGCAGAGTCTCCACATCCAGCTTCACACCTGAGCCTCAGAGTCTGCTCTGTCAAACACCAAAATTCATGCTACTCTGCTCTACATAGCCACCTGTTCAGTGAGAATTTCTTTGTTGGTCTCATACAACACATTTCATACTATAGTACTTCACTTCTGGTTTGCCTGTATCCTTGGACATGAGGGCCTAAAGCCAGCCTACTGTATGGATCAGCTAGATAATGTGATTTCAGGGATATTGGGAAGGCCAAAATGTCCTGAGTTCACAATGATTGATACATAATTCATTTTTTACCTTAAGATTTTGGATTGCAAAATTAATTGCAAGCTTGACACAGAAAGGTTATATCTTACTTGCTTACAAAGTTAGTATGGGTGAAAAAAAAGCTGGGAGAAGGTTTTGTTGCCAGTAGAGAAAAGGAAACAAGAACAGTGAGTACTTGAGAAGATACAGGAGAAAAGATTCAAAATTGGTAGAGTCACCAAAGGCACAGAGAAGTTAATAGGTATTTAGCAAATAAATGAATAAATAAAAGGTAACCTTGAGCCACTTCTCAAGTTTAGCCCATGGGAAACTCTGACTTTTCTTGTGTTCAACGTTCTTCCTGGCAGAGTGACAGGGCAAGGAGTCTCCCTTCTATCAACATTGCCCTTCAACTTAATCAATTGGGAAACACTGATAAATGGTGACTCTCATCCAGTATGAAAGCTATGGAAGCAATTGCCAAGTGATCTACTACTTGCATTATCTTTAATTCCACTGTGTTAAATATTGTGCTATTCAAAGACATCATCAAATGATTTTTGAGTAGTCTGAGGTTCAAGAAGTACAACGCATTTTTCCTCTAGCACTTTCCCCTTGGTTTTTGTGATCAAACATGTCAGAGTAAAACTAATTCACGGAACTTATCAAAACAGAGGACTTAAGACACGGACACCTCACCTACTATAGTTCTGAGGGTTTCAGGGTCAATCCAGATACTAGGGGGCAACGACATACACTATGTACTGATGTGGAGACTGTGAAGACAGTGGATCATGGTCTTGGGACTGGGAATCAAAGTAGGAAAGCTGGGAATGGACTAGAGACAAATTAGAAACTCCCATATATCCCTCTACTCCTAAGTCATACACTAGAAGCCAAAGTTTGCTCGTCCAGACCTTTTCTATGAGGCTATGTTCAATTCTTGTGTAATGTTGACAGGAACAAATGGTGTAACCAGGAAGGAGAAATGCAGTTAATCAAGGGTGGGAACTGGATGGTAAAGTTTGGACGAGAAACTGTGTTTTGTACATCTGTAACATGAATTTCTGACAGAGCACTCACATGAAGATGTCCAGTATAGACATGAGTCTAGATATTAAAAAGAAAGTGATTGGGGCTGAACATAGAGATTTGGGAGATATCAGCATATAGAGTGAATTAAAGTCACTCTAGTCCAGTTCTTGCAGACTCAGAATCCAGTTCTTCTTGCTGAATTTGCCAGACACTGGACCTGATTATGCTCCAGTTTCTGTACCTGGATCCCTGCCCTGTGCTTGGTGCCTCAGCTCCTCTTTTGGTACTTTACCTCATTTAGTCCGAGTCTGCAATCCTTCTCTTGCTCTTTCTTTCTGGCTTCTTTTTAATTGCCACTTAACTCTGCCTTATGTGGTATAAAGATTGACCCGATGTCTGTGCCTGGTACATCAGCTCATCACTGCAGTGTGAGCCTTGTCAGGCCCTAATACAAAGGATAGTTTTACTAATTGCCACACCTCACACAGGGGTCACATTGCCTATCCGGGCATCACTGTAAAAGTCACTTGTGTGACCATTCCTAAGGTCCAGGCCTATAGCTGTCTGACCTCCAATTTTGTGTTCACCAAGCTGCCACACAAGGAGTATATTGAATATATTGACACTTAGTCCAGTGTTATACTGAGCTCTGAT